ATGCCAAAATCAATACAAAAACTACTTTAAATGCGCAAAATACATCAAAGGTCTCATTTTTTTCTCTTTTTCTTTATTGTGCGCAGGAGGAGTGTATTTATTTGGTCCCTGCCGGATCCTGTCTCCCCTCTTAAGATACATGAGTATTGAACTCTGTTATGTTTGCGACTGTCCACCAAATTGAGGCTCGCATTGGGGTTGGGATTGGGACTCCCCCATGGTGACAAATTTGACTCCTAGTTGTGGTTGTGACTGTCCACCAAACTGAGTCTTGGGTCCACCAACGTCAAACTGAGTCTTCGGTCCACCAATGTCTTCAAATTGAGTCCCGACCTGGATGCGCGAGCCTCGAGAAGAATGTGTTTGATCCTCATTTTGTTGACCCTCAGTTTGTTGTTGCAATGTCCGAGGGGGAACTGGGACCTTCCTCTTTCTTCCTCCTTCAATCTTATCTCTCGACTATGGTTTCGCTTTTTTACCCGACGGAGGTTGTGAGGGCAAAGATGGATCTTCATCAACCAGGATTTGGGTATCCTCCACGTCCATCTCATCATTTGCACACAGGGTTAAAGCAGCATGTGTTTGATTGATGATATCGTCCAAATGCTTGTCGAGTTATTCGTCTAGGAGATTCTCATCTTCTCGTTTTTCTCTAAACTTCTCGGAACTCACGCGAATGTTGTTCAATACTTCACCCTGAAAAGAAATTGGAACGTTAATTAAGAGAGTAAAATTCAAATGAAAAAATAAAAAATAAATAAAAGGAAAACATAAGAAATAAAAAAAGATATAGAATGAACTCACATATAATTTCACTCAACTTGAAGAAGTCTTGTATCCTTGAGGTTCATAATTTTTGGGATTGGATATCAGCCTGACAGTGTTCACCATGAACGATCCATAGTACCCCTCATATACGGAGCCAGGGTCTCCTTCCTCCAAATCTCGTAGCACGTACTCTTCTCTCCTATTCCAATGACGACGTACTGCGAAATGGTGATCCACCCAATTGTTGCTAGGATACCCAGACATACTATGGGCGTGATCGAGAAGAAATGCTACGTTATCTTTAATCATAGGGCGCTTGGAACATCCTGTATGTATCCAAATTATCTCACAATTCTGCCCGACTCGTGGGGTTCCCTAATAGCCCAACAGAACATTCAACACCTGGTCGTCCAAATGGCTTGGCCTTGTTTACAGAAATCAGGGAGTCTATGAAGGACCTTTGCATATGGTTGCTACCAAAATTGCACAAAAAGAATTTATTTAGATGGTATAACCGGAACGAAAAGAAATTCGAAGTAAATATAAATACCAAGTTAAGTACTTACATCTTTAACACGCAGGCTTGTTAATTGATCTCTAAAAGATGGGGTGCTGCTCCTTGGGGCGTCTTCGTAGGTGTACCCACATTCCCACCTTAATGAACAAAGGGGCCCATTTGAATTAGTAAAAAAAAATGAATAAGAAACAAATGGAAATAAACATTGAGTTATTTTGAGCTGAAAATACGTACCGCTGAGCTAATGGAGCGGTCTCATCAATCAAACAATCTACTCCTTTTCTTTATGGCGCAATTCTCTCGATCCGCTCATACGTCCATACCTAATAAATTTCAATAATAATGTTAAAACTTCAAATTATAACGTCGAAAGCAAAAAATAATTATAACACCAATTGAAAACTAATACGTACCTGTAGCAAATATAGACAGCCAGTGGCGTCGTGCATGGTGTACTGTGATGCCTCGCACAGTCTAGAGTACAAACCAGCCAGCAGTGCCGATCCCTAACTATATCGACTACACTGATCCAAATCCTCAACCTGGGCCAAGAACTGCAGATTGATAGTGTTTTGTGTCTTGTTAGGAAACATGAAACTGCTAATAAAATGCAGTATAAGTGTCCGGGCCCTTTGCTCGTTGGACTGTGGAATTCTCAGGGAGTGCATGGCCCATCTCATCCTCGAAAATACCAACAATGACACATTGGCCATTTACTTGGGCTAGCGGGAATCCCAAATAAGCCTCACATTGATCCTGCCATTCATCTGCACTCCAACTAACTGTCGTCCCGTACACCGGGTCACCATCCACCCGAATACCAAAGACTGCTTCTATGGCTTTCCTACTCCCGTGCCACGCCCTTTTGTATGGCACATCTACTTTCAATAAGGTCTTCACATCTTTCTGTGCCGAGACTACCATATAATCTACGTTGTCCTCAACCTTTCTCCTAATGAGTCTAGCAATCAAAGACGCGTCCACACACCGATTGTCATTATCATTCACGGGAATGATGCAATTATGTGCATCATGCCATCTCACAATTTCATGAAGGTCGTGAGCTTTCAAAGACACACGCATCTTCCACTCACAAGGTGGTTCCCCATCCTCACTTTCCACATTTAATGTTTTGCAACGCACAACCCACGTCGTTGGACTACTCGCGGCGACCGTATATTCCCTTTTATAATGGATATTCCATAATTTCACAGCATGCTTTGCTTCTGATTGAGATTTGAAACAAACGCCAATGTCCATTCCTTCGGGGGTCTCATCCCACATCTTAAGAGCAAACTCATCCTTATCCACACATGAGGCATCCCATTTCCCAATCTTACTATATACATGGCGTCGGGGCAATGGATTACAATCCCTTTCCTCATTTTCCAACCTTTCATCATCACTTTCTTCAAAATCACTCTCTCCGGAGACATCACAGTCTTCTTCCCTTTCACTTGGAGCTATGTAGTTGGGATCCAACTCTCCTCGGTAGTCATCTTGTGTAAATAAAGGTGTCTCCTCTTCATCACTGTTTCCAGAAGTACTAGCACGTTCCCCCCTTGGAAAACCACCAAATGACACGTTTTCCAAACTCGCTTCTTTTTTTTCGTGAGTGATATCTTCCAAATCTATGTATAAATCCAAACATGACATTGGATCTACACGGTTCATGAACTCTACATGCGAATCATTCTTGATCTTCACTACACGCCTACCACCGGGACTATCGAAAATCAAAGAAAGGTGGAGTTTCATGTGTGCTGGATCCCAACCAAGTGTCATACAAATCTTACTAATCAATCCCTCAAATGACAACCTTTCCTAAACAAACAAACCATCATCCGGCATATTCGAAAAAATGTTGATGCTACCACTCTCTATCACATACTTGCTTGTATGAAACAAATTAAGCATGTATGATAAATTACGTGCCATTGATAACTGTTTAAAAAAAACATCAATGTCTAATCATTTCTTAATAACAAAATCAACAAATACACCATACATACTCCATTCATAATTCAAAAAACCTATAAAATACTAAAATACTTATAAATCAACTTCCATATCTCATGAATAACTATGATTTCTCATCTCTAACCTCAAAATCAACACCTAAAACATCCAAACAACCAACCAACATAAATCCTAATCTATCATACATCATTCTAACAATAAAAATAACACAAAACTAAACTAAATAACATGGTTTTGCAATCTAACCTCTTTCAAATAACGATTCTCACGTATCTAGAGGCAAGAATGCATCAAAAGCTCCAACTCGCCCTTGTTTGAGCTGTAAAAACAGAAAATCTAACTCAGTTCTCGAATGATAACTGTCTGAATTTTTTTTTCTTTTATAGCATGTTAAACTCGGATTTTCGAAATCCGAGTCCGTAAGTAACTCGGATTTCGGAAATCCGAATTACGGTGGCCTCGAATTTCCTGAAACCGAGTTTGGTCAATTCCGAATTTTTTTATTCATTTTTTGATCTTCCAATTTATGGCACATGCCTACTTCCACCAACCAAAATTAAAAGCAGTCGGATTTCCAAAATCCGAATATAGAAAACCGACTTACGGATTTCCAATTTTTGGATTCAAAAATTTCATGCCTGAATTTATTATTTTTTAATTAAATTCGGATTCTGCAAATCCGAACGGAACTGTTCATTTAAGAATTTTTAAAAACTATTATTCAACAAAATTTACTTAATTATTATTTTATTATTAAATATAGGCTCGGATTGTCGAAATCCGAATCTTCAATTTTAATCAGAACTCGGATTTCGAAAATCTGAGGGATATATTTCTGTCCACTAATATTCTAAAAATTTAAATTTGTCCACGTTTATTTTAATTAATTTTTTTTGGGAAAAACCCCCAAACCTTTTATGAGTAAGAAATGTTTTTTGTCACAAAAAAAAAAAAGAGTAAGGAATGTTTGTCCAATTAGCTAGGCACTAAATTAGTACTTCACAGAACTCAAAAAAGTTGATCCATTTCGATGTCCAGAAAAGTTAATTGGGCAAAAAACTGTTGCATTCTGAATATGGATCATATCAAAAGACTTTTGTAGCCCAATTTCTGGACACCATTTCCAGTAGCTTCGCTAGTCCAAGATGAGTTTGGGGCAAACGGTCCATAATACTGCCTTAAATACAGAAAGAAGAAATAACGTTTCTATCCTTTATTTTATTTTATTTTATTTTATTTTTGAATTATTTACCAGAAAAGTCCTAAAAAGTTTCTCTCTATATTCACTCGGTACTAAAAAGTTTAAACGTCCTTATGTCCCCAAAAAATGAATTATTTTGTATTTATTTAGTTTTCCGTCTAAAATTGAACGGTCAACCGTGAAATCACATGCTAGTCACGTGGGTTGACCGAGGGTATGGGGCATCCAAAAAAAAAAGTGGGTCTTCAGCCATTCTCACGTGACTTGCACGTTTTGCGGGAAATTCAAAATTCAAAAATTAATTTTTTGAATTTTGAATTTTGAATTTCGCCGCCAAAATCCGGTTGTGACCACCGGTTCAACCAACGACCTCCACCGGTTCAACCGGTTCAACCATCGGCCGCCACTGGTACAACCACCGACGTCCACCGGTTACGGCCACTTTGTGGACAGTTTACGACCGTCGACCACCGGTCACGGCAAAATTCCGGTAGTTGACCACCGGTTCAACAAACATTGACCACCGGCCAATACATGGCACTGGTGATATTCCCAGTGGTAACCGAGAACTTGCCGCCAACGACACCGGCCGGCAATATTCCGGCAGCCGTGACGGTGGGGCAAAAGTGGAGTTTGATAGCCCAATAAATCATCAAATGGGCCAATTATTTTCATTTTGAACCCAATCCCAATACATGGCAACTTAAATTCTTAAATTCTGGGCCGACTCAATTTTTTTAATAGGAAAAGTTAACCCATACGTCCAGATAAAACCTAGTCATTTTGTCCATTTTGTCATTGGAATTATTAGGTTCGGGAGAGAGAAAACGATAGATGGTGTTAGGTTGGGGATTAGGGTTTTTCAAAACACATCAGCTCTGGTGAATTTATGCAAAAATAAACAACAACATGTTTCAATATTGGTTAGGGATTGGGGGGTTTTGACTTTTTTTGTGTTTCCTCTTCGGTTTCACTGGAAAGGGGGTTAGGATTTCGAAATCGAAAAGGCAGTCAGGTTTATTACCGGAGTTTGGGAATTAGGGTTTCCTGAAATTGAAAGGGCTTTGCTAAATTTCTAAAAAAAGAGAACTCTTGTGTTCTAAGGATTGCAACTAAGTGTTGTTCATTGCAATTGGAAGGCCGTCGGGTTTGTCATCAGAGTTCACAACTCCGGCAGTCAGCTTTAACACTGAAGGTCCAAGAGCACACTCTTTTGGCTCTGGTCACCATCGATATGGAGGGGAGAGGATTACATTCGTCCTGATGACGAAGTCTCTGAAATTCCGGAATACGGTAAGTAATTTGTTTTGGTTTTTGTGTTATATTTTGTTTTGATTTTTGTGTTATAATTTAGTATTGACTATGGGTTTGGGGTTTAGAATTGTTTAACAGAAATGGTGTGTCAGGAATTGGTGTTAGTTGTGCAGGAAGCATGTTGTACTGTTGGGAAGGGACAACTAATTTTTGAAATTGAATAAAAAATTGTATGCTTCAGTTAATAGAATATAACAGTGCCATCTTTGTTTATTTCATATGCATAAGTGCCATGTTTTTTTTTTCAGATGCATTTTTTAAGTGAAATTAGGGTTTCTGAAACTGTGTATCATAGGAATAATTTTATTGTTGACATGCATATGTTATTCAATCAACCTCTCTTAAACCTTTGTGTATTAATGTAATTCCATGTTGTTTCAGGTGAAGGCTCTGGCCTTGTTACTGTCAAAATTCATCACAGTGGGGGTTTCATGACAAACAAGACTGGAAAACTTGTTTGCTTTCAAGTGGAGGTGGACTACTTTGATGAAGTTAAGTCTGAGGACCTTAAGCTTGAAGAGGTTAACTCATTTATAGATCATATTGGATTCTGCAGGCCTCCCAAGCTATTCTATGTAGACCCTAATGTTGCAGAATTTGATGGCTTTAGAAGGTTAAATTCAGATCAAGATTTGAAATCACTGATGGAAATCACATCTGCAGAGAAGGGTAAGGCTGTTGTTATCTACAGGATAGGTGTCAATGAATATGATCCATTACCAGGACCAAAACCCAAACGTCCAGCATATTTAGATGAAGGTGAAGAGAGTGATGCATATGATGAAGATTATGATCCAGAGAGTTATTATAGCTTGTCTGATTCTGATGATGAAAGCAGTTGCAAATATGCCAATGAGTCCATGCGTACTTCCTGCTGGGCAAGTTTGAGGAAGCCATCTGAGTTTGTACCTTCTACACATGTACCTGAGACTGGAGATTCAGAATCTGACCAGGCTTCTTGTGATGAATTGCATGAAGTAAAAGGTTCTGATGATGAGGAGGACCAAGTAGAAGTTAAAACGTATAGAGAGTTTAACCCTAAGAAGGAGATGCATAACCCAACCTTCGAAGTCACGTAAAGATTTGGTGACAAATGGATTTTGTTAAAAGCCATCAGAATACATACTCTTGTTGAAAGGAGGGGTACTCACTTCAAAAAAAATGATACTGAAGTTGTCCACGCACGATGTGTTGAGGGTTGCAACTGGGAAGTGTATGGGGCTAGAGTCTCAAAAGAGGATCCAACATTTGAGATCAGAACTCTTAATGATAAACATACTTGTGACAAGATTTGGGAGAAGAATAGGAACTGTAACTCCAACATCGTTTCAGACTGGTATCTTGCTGATTTTGCACACGATCCAAGAATGAGTGTGGGAACTCTGCAATTTAGAGTTCTCAATGAGAAGAAGATTACTATTTCTAGAACACAAGCTTACAAGGCCAAGATAAAGGCTCTCGAAAAGGTTAGACGCAACATTGTGGAACAGTTTGCGAAGCTGGAAGGTTACATGGAAGAAACCAAAAAGCTGAACCCAGGCACCACATTTGAGCTAATGAAGGACCCTAACCCTGAACGTCCTAATACCTTTAAGAGGTTATATCTTTGCTATGAAGCATGCAAACGGGGATTTAAAGAGGGTTGCAGGAAAATATTTGGTATAGATGGGACGTTTTTGAAAACTGTTGTCGGGGGAATACTACTGACTGCTGTTGGGTTTGATGCAAACAACAACATGTTTCCAGTAGCCTATGCTGTTGTTGAGATAGAGAGCACGGATTCGTGGGGTGGGTTCCTTAATTTTCTGATTAAGGATTTAGAGATTGAAGACTCATCTGATTGGGTGATAATTTCAGACACCCAGAAGGTCAGTGTTGTGTTTTGTTCCGTATATAATCATAGATGACAGTGATACCAGCTGCACCATTTTTCCTGTTCCTTAACTCTTGTTATATTCTGATAATCGGTATTTCTTTGGCAGGGCTTGTTGCCAGCTGTTAAGTCTAAACTTCCAGCAGTTTCACACAGGCATTGTGTGCATCATTTGTGGTCAAACTTCAAACAGGAGCACCCTGGACTTCTTCCGAAACAAAAACTTTTTGAAATAGTGAAATCAAGTTATGTAGATGAGCATGAGGAGCTGATGGCAGCTCTAAAAGATCATGATGAAGTTGCTTGGAGGTGGTTAAATGATTTGAATTTTGCTAATTGGCGTAGATCACACTTCGGAACAGCAGCTAGGGGTGATATGTTAACAAACAATATTAGTGAGGGTTTTAATAGAGCTATCCTGCCTGGTAGGGAACTTCCTATTCTTAGAATGCTAGAATGGCTTAGAGTGTACTTAACCAAGAGAGGGCAGAAGAAAAGGGAGTGGCTGGCAAGGAATGAGTTTGTTGTTGGGCCTAAGATTAAAAGAAGGTTAGAGAAATATGCTCAGAGAGCTGCAGGCCATAGTGTTCTTCATGCAGGAGGTCCATTATTTGATGTCCGTACGATTGATTGTGATGATCAATTTGTGGTTAATCTGAAAGAGAAGACATGTGCTTGTAGAAAATGGGATCTGACTGGAATACCCTGTTCTCATGTAATTAGTGCAATTGTTCTGAATGGAGAAAAGGTTGAAAAATATATTGACAAGTTTTACTCCAAGTCGGTGTATGAGAGGGCTTATGCACACATTATAGTACCTGTAAATGGCAGAAAGTTTTGGAGAAAGCGTGATGGTCCACAACTGCAACAACCAGAATTCAAGCATAAGATTGGTAGACCCAAAGGTAGCAGGTTCGAGGATAAAGATGAACCTGTGAGAAGGAACAAGAGAGGATCCATTAAAGCAAGTCGAAAGAAGGGTAAAGGTGTTAACAAATGCAGCAACTGTAACGTGACTGGCCATATAAGGAGACGCTGTCCGGATCTACTTAAACAATCAAATCAGGTAGCTTAACTGGCCATATAAGGAGACACTGTCCGGTTTTTGTTAAGATTTTAATTGCCAAATTTAATACATTTCTGTTTTCCTTTGTTTCATTACGCACTAGGGCCAAGGAACTATTGCTGATACCAATCCACCCATACCGAAGAGGAAAGGGAGACCCCCAAAGAAAAATCCACACAATCTGGTGGATGAAGACATAAGCCCAGTAAGAATCAATTCAAAGGTCTCTTTGGTCATATTATTGTAAGTTAGGGTTTAGAATGATTACGTGATTGACTGACGAAAGGTTACGTGAATTTGTTGTTTGTTGTTTCACAGCCTGTTGGGGAAGGAGATACCAACAATCCTCAGCCGGCACAACAAAAAAGGAGGGGTAGGCCACCAACAACACACTCAAAATGTAAGCAATGCAAGCAAATGGGACATACCAAGTCCATATGTCTAGAACTGGCAAGAAAGAGATCGAAAGAAGCCGTTGGTGTTGATATTTTTGAGCAAAATACAAGTGTGGTGCAATGTGACCATTGCCGCTTGCTTAACCACACAATCGCAGATTGTCCAGTTCGTGATGCTGAAAACTGGCTTCATGATGATGAGGTCTTGGAAGAGGTAAACTTGATGACCATTTTAAATTGTAACATAATTTGAACTTTATTCTTCATTGACAATGGTTGATCACATGTAAATATGGGTTTTAACTACACATTTGCAGATTTTCAATACCTCTGGTGCACCAGATAATTATATACCTTGTGGATATTCATCACTTGATGATGGATACATGCATGAGGGATGTCGTCGTTGCAGAAGCAATACTCATGATGATTACAACTGTCCCACTCTTGATTTCAAATGTGACAACTGTAATTACTTTGGACATCTCAGAAACAATTGCCCTTTATCAGAGGTGCATTTTTTTTTATCATTCTTACTGCATTGAGTACTTCAGTTAAGGATCCAAGGGGATCGTATTTACAAATGACTATATCATTTTATGTGTTTTTGTAGGAGGAACTGGCTTCAACATTTCGTCCATCTAGTTCTGCTGACCCAGCTGCACCTTCCATTGTTAAAAATCATGATGTGGCAGAACCAAACAATACAGATGACAGTTTGTCAAGCAATCAGCAGCATCACCAAAATGTAATGTTCTCTTTAGTTCTTTGGTGTAATGTTCTCTTTATTTCTCTTCTATTGATTTAGTTCTCTTTCAACTTCATGGGCTGAGTGATGTGCTTTGTTGTAGATGGACCAGTTGGAACAGGATTCCAATCAAACTCCAAGTGCTGATGAAAGGTCCCCTGAGCCAGAAGCAACAATAAGAAATGTGACATTGTCGGGCAATCTTGATGATCATGAAGCAGATGTTGTAATTCTCCCTACTGCCATAACCTCACCGGCTGCCAACAAAGCCATCAAAAACCGCAAAAAATCAGCCCCTTCCACACCAAAGAGAAAAAGTGCAAGGCTAGCTGTTGTTAAGGTACGGTTTGATGCCGATGGTCATGGCAGTAGTCCTGAAAAGGCAATTCAGATCTTAGGTGAGGAAGCTGTGGAAACATCCGTCGGGAGGAAAAGGGCCAAAACCTTCCACGGTGCAAATCCTAGCAAAAGTACTTTATTCACTCATTGCATCTAAAGGCTCCAGTTCTATCTTTATGTTCCCTTTTCAAGTATTGATGTAACTAAAACTTTTCTAGAGTTTTTTGCTGTTTGGATTCCGTAGTAGTAATTTTAGGGTGAATCTTAATTCAGTGAACTATTAGTAGTAATTGTCACTGGAATCTATTCTGATATATATATATATATATATGTTAATGCAGATGATTTACGATAACCATCAAATTTTCCCATATATTGTTCTTGGGTCTTACTGGTAATGTAGTTTAATTTTAGGTCTTCTTTGTTTCCTTTTTACTCCAAATTTTTTAGGCTTTTTTCAAACAAATCCTATCCCCCTCTTCACAAAAAAAAAAAAAAAAAAAACAAAATCAATTTACAAATCTGATCCCATCGACAAAATGACCAAATTACCCCTCATAGGCAGGAGTCCAGGACTTGGACTCTGGTATATTTAGCTTTAGTAAAGGAGATTGGACTGGATATTTATGTCTTTTTGTTCGTTCAACGGATTTTTTGTAAGTTATGTAGAATAACCAAATACAAAATTAAATTAATTATGTTTGTTATGTTTAATATCTAAGAAAATTAAATGTATGCGTAATTTTAATAAATAAATTAGGATTATTAAATTAATTAAGTGTGGTAGCGGAGTTTGCCCAAGTGAATGGCCAGAATTGGGTAAATATATAACGGAAGTATTAAATTGCTGAAGTATAATACATTAATATGAAATTTACAATCTCTAATAGATTATGATGAAATGTAAAATATGCACTGAAAATTGAAATTCATTCTAAAGGGGATGGGATATTATAAAGATGTAAATCGGAATTATCAACAAATCCGATCCCCGTCTTCCCAAAAAAAAACTCAAGTTACAAATTCGATCCCATCGATAAAATGACCAAATTACCCCTACTAGGTAGGAGTCAAGGACTTGGACTCCAGTATAATTACTTTTAATAAAGGAGAATGGACTTGATGTTTATGTCTTTTTGGTCGTTCGATTGATTTTTTTGAAGTTATGTGGAATAACCAAATACAAAATTAAATTAATTAAGTAGGGGTGTTAATTTTAATATCTAAAAAATTTAAATGTATGCTCAATTAAAATGCATTATAATTAGGCCCGATTACAAACACTGACAAAAATTACGATTATTCATTTAGGCCCGATTACAAACACAACAAAAATTACGATTACAAATTTAGGCCCGATTACAAACGCCATACATTTAAACCTAATAGTAGAATATTAACCACAACATAATTTACCTTAAACACTAAACCAAACCAAAACAAACCTTGAACATTGACTACAACTACAACTACAATTACTGCTAATTAAAAGAGCCTTGGCCACAATTTCCTTCTAATTCACCTTTCCCTGCCAACATTTCCATTCGACCGAAACAACACAAATGCCCAAGTGATAACGGTTAAATTGTTACATAAAAGCATTGCAATTTTGCTCTTTAATTAGTTATAAATTAGGGGTGTTTCTTAGATTTTGTTCATTTTACATAGCTAGTTTTGTGTTTCTAAATAGGTGAGGACCGGAGTGAACAAATGCTGAAAATGGGGGCTTATGGAGAAATAATTGGGCTGCTGATTCCAATTTAAAATGAGGTCTGAGTTGGTCAAACAGCAACTCCAAGACACAAGACACATTAGGAGTTAATAAGTGTGTCCCATCCAAGGGCATGCTTGTCCCCTTGGTTAGACTCCCAACCGCCCAAGAAGATCAATGTTACAGATGATACCAGTGCTGGAGAAGGGCAAGGGACCAGTCAATTCTCGGATTCAAGACACAAAGCATTGGGAGGAATAAATAATTCACAAGCATGGGGAGGCTATCTTGGAAGAAGAACTGGCTTCAAAGCTCTATAAAAGGAGCTGCATTCCCAGCATGAACACAGATCTGAGGGGACATACAACACACAAAACACAACAGAGAGAAAAGAAGAGAGCCGAGAGGGGAGAAAACTTCAGAGGAAGAAGAAGTCCAGTAGCAGAAAAAGAGGAGTAACAGACCTCACTCGCCTGAGTGACCTTTGTCACTCAGGCGAGTGACCTGTTGCTCACCCATCCAGATTTGCTTCTTCTCAATGCTTTACTTCTTTTCTTGTATTTTCTGTAGTTTGTATGTGTAGTTAATTAGATTTCATTCTCTGGAACCTGTGTAGTTTAAGTTTGTGAATGCATTCGGATGATTTTGTGTTTTGAAGTTAAAGCTTTCATCTACCTCTTGATTAAATTGGCCATTTGATTGATTGTGCACAGAACTAAGTGAATCCCGGAAGGGTAAACAAGGTTCAGAATCATTTAGCTTCAACTTATGACTTGGAGGTAACAATCCAAGGTTCTAATTGAGATAGGAATATACTTGGTTAGCATAAGCATTCATATAAGGCTTGAAAACTTAATGACTTTATGACTTGATTAATCATTGGAAAATAGTTTAACTGAGTTCATAAAGATATCTCTAGGAAAAATCGGAAGTGACTTAGAGATATATAAGTGCCTGAATGAGCATGAATTCATAGCAAAAGAGTGCAAGATTACAACTTGATTATATAGGGAAAAGAGAATGAATATCTAGTTTGTAGAGTCAGTCCCTTGAGTTGGAATTCTCACTCCCATGAGTGAGGTTCCATTTTTCTTTCTTTGTCTTTAGTTCTGCAGATTCACTTGCCTGAGTGACTTCACCCACTCGTGCAAGTGAGTGACACTTTGCAACTTTCTTTCTTCTTTGTCCAATTTCGTGTTCCGGTTATTTGAAGTTTAACCCGTCCCTGTGGGATCGACCTAACTTATCCTATCTATAGTTTAAGTTCGTAAATTATTTTGGGGGCTTCGACAACCCACCACCAAGTTACAACAAGAACGGAGAGTAGAATCTTTATTTTTTTCCTCGAAGCCAACAGTTTGTGATCTATCTCCATCAACATTCGATCTTTCTCGGCCAACAATATTTCTTTCTCGGCCAACAAATTATTCTTCTTGGCAATTTCTTCCCTTCTCTTGATCAAGGCTTGAAAAAAGCCTGGCAGCAGCTGGATACATCGTGCGCACCGTTCTGAATCGAACCAACCAAAGCATCCATATGATTCCCCAAAATGAGATCGTGGGCATCCGAAGAATTTTTGCCCTCGATTATTAGAAGTTTTTGACGCCGTTAGCTCCACCGGTAAGCCACAGTAGCAAACAGAGTGCTTTGGGAATGGCGGCGGTGTTGGAGATTGATGCATTTCTTCATAAATTAGATCAAACACTTCAAATTTCAAACCTTTCAACCCTAATCCCCTTTCCTCTCAGTCCGAAAAGAAAACCCCAAAATTCCAAAATCAATCAAAACCCTCCAATCCCTAACCCATATTTCACCCAAAAGACTTGTTTTTTGCCAGAAATCTGCAAGGATTTGAGTTCGACAACAAAGAACCCTAATCCCCCAAACTGGATTCTCTCTCCCCCCTGCGGCCGCACGGTTTTCTTTCCAAAAATAATTTGGGACGTAGGGTTATAAGGGAATAAGGTTTGTTAAAGGGATTGAGCTTTTATAAAATACTATTTGGCCCAAAAACAATTAATTGGATTGGCCCATAATAATCTAATACCATAGTATTGGGCTTAGTTGTCTATTTTATGGCTAGTAGGTTGAACCGGTGACCGACGGTTGAACCGGTGGTTGATTTTGGGGCCGGTGATTGTGGTAACAAGGGCTCCAAAAGTTGAATGAAATCTCAGAAAGGAAGGAAGAGCAATTTTCTCATCAGAATTTAGTCCTACCAGTGGAGGTGAAGGAGGTAAAGGAAGAACCAAAGGTGGAGATGCAACCACCACCATATCAGAAACCACCTCCTTATGTTCCACCTCTGCCATTCCCACTCAGGGGAGTGACAAAACACACTTCCTCAAGTAGCGTTAAAAACTCTGCCAAGCAGAAAGTTGTGCAACAAGATTTTAGTAACCCACTTGATGAGGAGTTGTGTTTAGAGGGACTATTTGCTGAAGGTGAGCCGTGTTCAAGATTTCATGAGACTCTTTCTCCAGAAAGAGAGATATTGACTCGGAGGATACAACTTTGTTTACGAATGAAGAAGAGTCAATTATCTCCCTTGACGCGAGTCATGTGGGCAGAGATAAGGGTGAATTCACTTGGGGTGTACAAACAAAGTATATTGATTTTGATCAATGCCAAACCAAGAAGGACCCCCAGATGTTGGAAGAGTGGAGCAAGATAGATTTTCTTCTATGTTGGATGATTCAAGAGAATGCTTCCTGGAGGCATGATAGACTAATTGATGGCACATTCTTGTGGTATCAAGATGGCTATTCTGAGTGACTTGAAGCCACAAGAGTTGATTGTGGAATGCATCTTGCATTTCAACATTTTGCTTGCTTCATGGGAGGCAACCCATGTTCTTTTCCTTTTAGTTTGTTTTTGTGTGATTTTAATTTTTTCTTGTTTAATGTGAGTGCTTCCATGTGCAAAAGAAGTATCAATGCCATCCCAATTCAATTGGTAATCCAAAAATGCAGCAGATTCTGATATCAGTCACTCTCCCGAGTGTGCCTGCAACAAACTGAGTTGCTGTGACTGATTTGCCTTCGATTTCTTTTAGGCTGCATAGGATCTGTGCTTTATTTTAAGTTTGGGGGAATTGATGTATGCTCTGTTCATGTATAATTGTTGTTAGTTTATTTTTTTAAAAAAATATGGGAATTTTGGAAAACTGAAGCTGTTGACTTTGAAATTTTGTGTGTTTATTGCTGAAAGTTCTAAGACACTCAGGAAAGTGACTCATGTCACTCGGCAAAGTGACTCTGAACCTACTTGATGTTTGAAGTCAATTTATTTCTTTTACCCACCCATATATTTTGTTTTACCTTTCTGTTTTGTTTCTTTTTTAGGTTCTTGAGACATCTTTTGTATGTCATATCCCTTAGTAGCTTATTAATTCTGAAATTTGGTGTGCTTAATGTGTACTTCTAGGCTTTAGTCTGGGGTAAACT